TGGAAATGATAATAGGATACCATATTGTCCTTGGCATTCCTTGCCACATAGATGATCTGCAAATATGGAAGGGAGAGAAGAAACAAAAGAGGATGAAATCCATGTCAACCATGTCCATACTCTTATTGCCAACAATCACACAGGGGTGGATACAGTTCTGGCAGAGAATTTTTCTAATGCTGCTTACAACCACCCTGCCCTTTCCCTTTTTTTTTTTTTTTTTTTTAACTTCAGTTCGCTTCAATGGCTGGATCTGCGCTGATTCAAAGCAACTAGCCAGGAGCTTCTTCCAGGTCTCCCACATTGGTGCAAGTCCAAGGACCTGGGCTATCTTCTGCTGCTTTCTCAGACCATAGCAGAGAGCTGGATCAGAAGTGGAGCAGCTGGGATCAGAACCAGCATCCACATGGAATGCAGGCTCCCCAGGGGGTGGCTTTAACCTGCTATGCCAGAGCTGACCACAACAATCCTGCTTTTGTGAGAGAGGAAAATATTCCTATCAATTTACATATGGATTCCTGTGAGGAGTTAGATTTTTTTTTTTTACTTAGTTATACATAGTGATACTTCTCCTCTCCTCCCCCACGCTACATCCCTTCTTCCTCGTCTAAATTTCCCACTCTTAATTTTTACAAATATATATTTTCAGTTTATTTAACAATTGTAAAGTTAACCCTACACTTAGCAAAAGAGTCTGACAAATAGTATGACTAAAAAAACCCACAAAATGGTGATCCTCAATGGAAAATACAGGAGCTGTAAATGATCATTAACTCTCAAAATGTCTATTTCACTGAAAAATATTAAATTTCAGGTACCCTGTTAGTTATCTTGGATCTAGGAAAACAAATGATATCTGTCTTTTTGGGACTGGCTTATTTCACTAAGTAAACTGGTTTCCAGTTATGTCCATTTGGTTGCAAAAGACAGGATATTTTTTTAATAGCTGAGTAGTACTCCATAGTGTATATATAGCATAATTTCTTTATCCAGTCAACAGTTGATGGACAGCTGGGTTGATTCCATATCCTACCTATTGTGAATTGTGCTCCAGTGAACATGGGGGTATAGATAACTCTTTCATATCCTGATTTCTTTTGGTTTGAGTAAATTCCCAGGAGTAGGATGGCTGGATCATATGGTAGGTCTATATTTAGCTTTCTGAGTTATCTCCATTTTGTGTTCCACAATGGCTGCCCCAATTTACATTCCCACCAGCAGTGGATTAGGGTACCTTTTTCCCCACATCCTTGCCAGCATCTGTTGTTTGTTGATTTCTGTATGAAAGGCATTCTACCTGGAGTGAGGTGAAGCCTCACTGTGGTTTTGATTTGCATTTCCCTGATGGCTAGTGATCCTGAGCATTTTCTCAAGGTCTGTTGGCCATTTGGATTTCCTGTCTTGAAAAACACCTGTTGAAGTCCTTTGCCCATTAAGGAGGTGGATTTTTTTTTTGAACAGGCAAAATGTTTTAAGAGGAAGGATGTGGAGGACTAAGATTGTTCTAAAGAGTACAGCCGTGAGTCCCTTTTGCTCTTTACCTTACAGTTGTTCTCTAGGAAGGATGGTGGCAGCAACTCGATGGGAAGATGTGTTTTCAGGTTCCGTGGTGAGGGCATTGCATTAGCTTGTTCCAAACCTGAAAAAGTAGTTTATAATAATTTCCTACTATTTTTCTCTTTGCTTCAAACAGGGAGCAAAATACCTGGGGAGCAATGCCAGGCAGCCACAGAGCACTGAGCTATTGTTTTTGATTCGAGGGAAGTCCTGTCACCTATTAGTAGACTTCTTGCCTAGAACAATTCCTAGCAAATACAACCAACCCGATAAATAAGAACCTAAAATTTCAGACCCTCTCACTGTTATTATCTTATAAGTGTTCATCTTTGTGAACTGTGACTAATTTATAACTACAAAATCAAAATTTAAGTTACTTCTGCATAAAG